TTTCCTCACCTGCTGAGCTGTCTTCCCAGAAGTGATTAGAGCCCTTTTATCACTGGTAAGACGGTGATGAATGTTAGTTTTTGTTCAGTGAAACATGAATAGAAACGTTTTCAGAATCAGTTTAAGAGTAAAGCTTAAAAGGTAATGTATAATTTAAAAGAGCTGACTTATGACATTCAGTAATTTTGAATAGTGTTATAGATCAGACGGAGGTTAAGCTAATGAAAGTATGCACATAGTTACAGTGATGTGCTTATAATTTATGTCTCTATGATAAGGGTTTACTTTAGTGTGTGTATATATGTGTCTGTGTGTAGATATGTGCATGTGAACATGTGAGCATAAGTGACGTCAGAGGCTGCATCCATCTGGACCTAAAGTTAAAGGTGGTTCTGAACCACGTCAAGTGGGTGCTCTGTAGGAGCAGTGTTCTCTCTTGACCTCTCAGCCATCACTTTAGCCCTCACGCAGGATTATAAAACACATTCTAATTCTTCATTGCAATGCTGAGTTCTCTGGGGCTATTACGTTAGGAAGCTTGGTAACACATTCATGTGCATATTATGCTACTCAGGCTGAAATTTGACATTAAGCTTCATAATACAAATATACACAAATATTCTTTGTATATATCTTACCTATGATAAAAATATGAAGGTGGGAATACTTAACAGTCTAGAAATGTTAGGGGTTCATTAAGTTCTCAGCCAGTTTAGAGCCCTGAGGTGCTGGATTCTGTGACAGTTAGAAAGTCTGAGGTTTCTCAGAAACCTCTGCTCTGAGAGAGCCGCCTGCTGGAGGATTGCTTCATTTCCTTAGGACAAATTTAAAACTCTCCTGTCTGACTTCTCAGTTTCACGCTTAGTTTCATGCTCAATTTAAGAACAAGCTGGATATAAAACCAGTATCATTCCTAGGGCTTTAGTCGTTCTCGTGTGTGGAAAATTTTTGGGCAACATTGTTATTAATCAAAATTAAAACATTTTTATTCAGTTTATTAATATTGTTATCTGTGTTTGCATGTGCATGTGTAGGATGCATGTGAGTGCAAGCTTATTCATGAATGGTGTGTGTGTGTGTGTGTGTGTGTGTGTGTGTGTGTGTGTGTGTGTG